CATACCAGCTACACAACCAATTATTTGAGGATTTGATTGGAAATCAATGAGAATAAGAGTCAAGATTCCCCCCAAATCCCAAATGGCTTCTGTCCCACTTTAGAACATCACAGAGAGGCTCACATTTTGAGGGACTTGCATTCCCAAAATGGCCCCAGCTGCTTGTTGATGTGGTCTTGTCCTATGAGTGAGGAAGTACTCAAGGCAGGGAGCCCCAAGAGTCCCGGTGGGTAAGGAGAAAACCCTCAAAAGTCAAAGAAATATCTGCCACCAACTGGCAATTATTTGGACTAGCTATACCAGATACTAAGAGTGGGCCGTATACCCACTTCCTCCCAGGGCCTCTCCTCCCCCACCTGAGCAGACACTAATCATGTGTTTGTTATTTCTCCCTGCTTTCTTTTAAGGAATCCAGATCCCAAGCCAGCAGGTAGAAGCTAGACCAAGATACATGTCCAGTGGGAAAGGAGGCCAGGTTCACTGAGCCAGGTATGGGATATTCCTTACCTGATATTTGCCAGCATACCCATGAGACACACCACCTCTACTTTCCAATAGATACTGGAAGTTCACAAAACTCAAATAATTGGCACTGGCCACATAGCAATGATGGAGCAGAACTGGGTCCCTCTACTACCCATTCTACCCAAGAGGCAACCAGGACTACTGCATGTGGTGTTCAGGTTGTAAACTGCAAAAGAATCCCACATCCAAGGAGATACATGAACCCACTTGCCCTCAGAGGTCACATACTGAAAGAGAGTACACAACCTGGGCACTTTGCACAGACACAGGGTACAGCAGGGTTAGTCCTACCTACGCTCCCTAACTCCCAGAGCCCAAGTCCCTCCTGCCCAATGATATCCACAGCCAGAGTGGTGGTGACGGAAATGATATCTACAGCCAGAGTGGTGGTGACGGAGGCCTGGTATCTTCTCCCTGGCACTATAGAGAGGGTGGGCCAGCATGTTATTGTACAGTCAAACCCTCTGGCAGAGCTGAGCTGCTTCTACAGAGGTATGGTTAACTATGATTTCCTTAAGAAATGAAAACCCTGTTAAAATTCACACCCAGGTTCTGCATAGGTGAACATCCCTGACTAAGGCTTCCCCTTGGAAGGTGGCAGGTCAGCTGCCTTGGCTGCACTGAAGCCACCCCAGGTCACCTCTCATCACTCTCCTATAGTAACCAGACAGTTGGGACAACATTGCTCTGGAAAAAAAGACTGGCAAGTTCCAGTGTCTCCCCTCCCCATTCTCTCCCAGTAGGCCTTCCTTCATGGCCTTTGCCCATAGAAAATATGCCCTGGCAGGGCAAGGAGGAGTAGAAATCTTGTGCTCTGCACCCTGCCTGGAGCTGGCTCCCCAATGACGTGACTTCATTGGTTCCTTCTCTTGCTAAGAAGGCACTGGTGGGTCTGGCTCACACAGTCCCCTCTTTCAGGAGTTGGCTGGCCTCTCCTGCATGCTGACACAAACTCCTCTATCCTGCATGTGCAAAACTATCACTGCCAGGGATGTGGAGTTTCTTTTCTTTTCTTTATTGAGTCAGAGTCTCACTCTGTCATCCAGGCCGGAGTGCAATGGCATGCTCACAGCCACCATAGCCTCAGCCACCTGAGCTCAGACAACCCTCCTGTCTCAGACTTCCAAGTAGCCAGAAGTAAAGGCACACACCATTATGCCTCACTAATTTTTGTTTATTTATTGTAGAGATGAGATCTTGCCAAGTTGCCCAGGCTGGTCTCAAACCCCTGGGCTCAGGCAATCATCTTGTCTCCACCTCCCAAAGTGCTGGGATTTACAGGCATAAGCCACTGTGCCTGGCTTGTTTTCTTACTTAACTGCAAATGCTAACATGGGAGCCCAGGAGCTGGCAGGGGCCTGGCCTTCAGCGGCTGCTGGAGAAAATTCTTGCTTTGAAATCTGGATCTCTCATGTCTCACATGGGATGTCAAAACAAACATGGACACTGGATCGTAGAGCACAGGGGTGGAGGCAGGCTCAAGTTACAGGGTCAACGACAGATTTAGCTACAGGATGCTTCAGTGACCAACAGGTGACAAGATCCTAGCTTCCCAAAATGGCACGGTTAGGCCCCATAAAGCCCCCTGCTGGGGCACGGGCTCTAGGGAGAGAAGGGAGAGGTCATAGGGGTTTATGTCAACACTGTATCCTGAGTGCCTGCTGGCCTGCAGGCATAGAGTTGAGGGTGAGGGAGGTAGCAGACGTAGCCAAGTTCTATTGATTCCTGCCTTTGGAGAGATATAGTTAGCAGCAGATTACTAAAGTGTCGCATTGAAGGCCTCCAAAGGCAAAACATTTACTAACAAGAACTTTGCAGAAAATATTTGCTCCTGATATGGAAGATGGACAAGGGTAGAGCAGCAGGGTCTGGAGAAAAGAAGACTGGGATGATTGCCCAGGACCCAGCTCAGGGATGGTACCCTGAGAGTGAAGATACAATGGAGCATTACACAAAAGCAAGGATGACCACAAGACCCAAGAAGCAAGACCCAAAACCTCAGCAGAGGGAGGAAAAAGATGAATGAGAAAGAGATGGTACAGGTCCTGAGTCTCTTGTCTCCAGCCTCCTGCAATGATAGAATGTCCAATCCAGGCAAGGTGCTGGTTGCCCAGCCCCACCTAAGGGCCAGAGTACCAGGCCAGCATGATATGCCCTGGGCACCTTCGGATGGGGGGGGCTGAATCATTTCTTAGTCAGTTCCCTGCATAAGGGATCATGCTACAGCCTTCTCACCTAACAGCTGGGTCTTGGGAGAGGTCAGAAGTTTTGAATGATCGGAGAACAACACCCCTCTTTGGGAAGTCACACAGTGTGCCCGGGAGGCCCCTACCCCCTACCTCCTTCCCATCACAAGTTATCCCATCTGCAAAGGCCCAGAGAGGAGCAACAAGGTCAGAGATGCTATACTGGAAGCAAAGCACCTTAATCCGAATTCAGGGCCTTCCTGTTTCCTGACTTGCCCATTCATCTCTGAGTCTCTGGCCTAGGTCCATCCTGAACTTGGAGACCAAGAGGCTGGATGATTCAGAACGCCCAAGCAACTTTGCCCCAACTGAAACCAGTTCACTCCACCCCCAGGAGAGGGGGATGTTGAACCATTTCCTCTTGGGACACCCCCACTACACCTCTCCCTTCTTGCAGTAGATTCAGTGTAGCCTTTCCTAATTTTTGGATCTTTGACACATACAATGTAGTGCCCAGTTAAAGAAACAAAGCATTAAAAGTTAAAAACTATCATTTTGGGAGACCATGTGGTGCCACCTTTCACAGAAACACAGACTTGGGGACTGAAACTGCATGCCAGTAGTAGTTTATGGTAGTTATTCAGATGATTCAGAAGGGATGCATCCAGTTTTTAGATTATTATTAAAATGGAAACAAAATGTACAATTGTCAAGGAAAAGAACATTCTGGAGTATAGTTCTCAGATCTTGGAGAAAACATTCACACAATGTTTTCCACATTGGGCTTCAGCGTGAAGAACTCCGGATGGGGGTGAGAACCCAGGCTATGGAGTTAGGCTGGCCCAGACTCCTCCCAGTCTCAGTCATAGCCATGTCCTCTCAGTGCCCACCACAATGGCTGGCACATAGTAGGTCAGTGGTTCAACTTTGTTGAACACACAAATGAATGAATGGGTGAATGAAGGAAGAGGTTGGCTTTCTGCATCTATAATCTACCAGCTCTGTGTCTTTAGGCAAGGCTGTTTATTTTTGAGCCTTAGTTTTTTTTATAATCTGTAAAATCTACAAAATTATGTATGACCTAGTGAATTACTGCAAGAATTAAATGAGATGGTAAGCCCTTGGTGTAGTGATTGGTGCATTCAAGATACAGAATAAATGGTAAACATCATTGTTACTTTTCGAAAGCGGCTTTAACTCCGTATCAAAAACATCTTTCCAGATTTCACACCTTCCCAATTCCATCATGGCAGTTTCTGTTTTGGTAAATCCCCAGCACAGAGTCTGGCACAAGTAGGAACACGGAAAACATCTGTCAAAGCAGAATTTAGCAGAAAGCTTCTCTGATTCTGAAACCCTGACCTCGGGTGTGTGCCAGGGGCTGAGGCTTCTAGTATGTCCTGCCTCCTCCGTGGGAGGTCACCCCGCTAGCACAGATCCCAGCCCTCCACGCTGTTCCTAGGCATTCAAGGCCAGGGAGCTCACCTGTGTCCACGCCAGAGGAAACAGGGCTGGGGGACCATTGGTCCTACAGAGGGTGGGGGTGTGGCTGAGTCCCAGTCCCGTGCCGCACAGACCTCTCCTCTGGTTCTTCTCATACCAGCTCTGGGCAGTGTGGGCCTCCCCCCAGGCGGCGTTCTCAGGCTTGGGCAATAACAGGCCCTCCATTCTTCCCTGCCCTTGGCAGATCTGCCTCCTCCCACTGGGACACTGCCTGCTGCTGCTCCTAGGCAGCTGCCCCCAGTCCAAGGGGACAACGAAGATCTCTTTGGGACCTGGGGAACAAGCCCAAGGGCCTGGTCTGCCCCTAACCCCCCAGAGGAAAGGAACTGGCCTGAGTGTCCTGCTGAAACAGACTCACAGGGTCACTCATTTCACCCTTAGACTGCAAATGTCATTTATTCTCTGGCATCTTTGCAAACAGCCCTCAATGACCACGCTTTGTTTTCTCCAAATGAGGGAGAAACCTGACATCTGCCCCCCCCCCATCTTCACTCCTTTGGCCAGGTTCCGGCTGTGTTCAGACGTCAGTCCTCAGCTCCCTGCCTCAGCTCCCGGCCTCCAGGGTGAGAAACACTGGGAGAAGGGGTCAGTGGTGGTGGTGGTGGTGGGGGACATTCCCAAGTCCAAGGCTCACTGCCCACTGAGAATCCCAGCCCCCACCTCTGTCTCCTCCTCCTCACATTTGCCAGTGAGATCCCATTGGCAAAAATGGCCAGAACCCAACCCCAAATCTGCAGTTCACAATCCAAGGAGGAAGATGTAACACAGCGGCTTTCTTTCACTTACCAAGTTTATCCAGCTATTTTCCAACTTTCTTTTTAGGGATCCTGAGCTCAGTCCTCAAGAATGATCCTCTTATGTCCCAGAGCCAGAGCTGGGTGGTGGGAGCCCAGGGCTGCAGTGGGGGGCTACACACAGGGAGTCCTTCTGTGGGCATGGATCCCTTGGGGGGGTGCACTTGATTCAAAGTAGTCCCCTCCTCTGGAAGCTCTGGTACTAAAATCCAGTCCAGGAGGGTTCCAGCCATAACCCAGAGAGGAACCCAGCAGGGGAGGCAGGGCCCTAGCATAGTGTATGGCAGTCTTTCTTAAAGGGACAGCCTACCCCCAGAGCTGGAGGGAGGCGGAAATTCCAGAAAGGAAGGAGTCAGTGAGGATGAGCCAGCTTTCTCCAGGAAAAAGCTCTGAACAAACACCAAGACCCTGGTTCAGCACTAGTCTAATCTTGGGGTCTGACATGCTTGTCCATTCTCTTGACATGTGGGACACTGAGGCAGAAAGACCCTTCCCCAGAGAAAGATTGCACTCCTGCAGTTTCTACCACAGAGCTGGGCTCACTCAGAGAGCAGTACAATAACCCAGAACAATGATTAATTATTTACTATGCGTACAGCACTTTTCTAAGTGTTTTGCATAAAGTTCCCTACAGGAGCTTTAGGAGATATGTCCTGCGATTTTTGTTGCTGTTGTTATTCCCATTTTACAGATGAGGAAACGGAGGTCTTAAGAGAGTAAATTGCCAAGGTTTCACAGGTAATGTGTAGGAAGGTTAGAACTTGAACAAGAATTATTCTACTGAAGCTAAAGCACTACACTTTGCCCACAAGAGTCCAAGAAAACCTCACTATATCAATCTGCAACTGCAGACGGAGCACCTACCAGGGTCAGGTTCATGCCTTAAAAAAGGCAGCATTCAAATTGTCTGCCGTCAAAACACTTGGGAAAAAAACAAACAAACAAAACCAACCAAACAAAAAAAACACCGCACCCCCAAAGGCTGACATCAATTTTGTCCAGAGGATACAATTACTTGTGCTTTTTTTTCTTCACCTTTTTAGTATATGTGTTTTCTGTATTGTCCACATTTTAAAATCAGTAGTTATTTTTTACAAAGAAAAGAAGTAAAGATTGTACCTTCTATCTCCCACTCCAATATTTCAACCAAGAAAATAGCAGAGCAGGAACATTCTGTATGGAACTTCTGGGAGGACAGAGAGTTGTGAGATCCACAGGACAGTGCAGCAACACTGTGATTAAATCTATTTAAGTTTGGCCTACTATAATCCACAGACAGATTCTAAATAAAATTAAAACAATAGTTTCTTCTTGCAACCAGCACTGAAATAAAAAGTGTTTTAAAACCTGGTAATTAAAAATTCAGTGAAGTCCGAGTTCCTCGTACGTTATCCTAATTTGATCACCAACTCCCTCTGCAGCTTCCCCCGACATGGCCCCACCCACCCCACCCAGCAACCAAGCCAGGCTACCAGAGGTTTCCATAAGCCTATCCAGTCCACGGCCATTTACTCATACAGTGCCTTCTGCCAGGATGCCGTTTTCTTCCTCCTATAAAGTCCCTGACATCTTTCAAGACCAGATTTGATTGTCATGGCTGCTACAGTGCCTTCCACCCTCCATGAGAAGAAATGATTGCTCCCTTCCCTGAGCTCCTACAAGCTGTGCCTACTGCTATGGACTGAATGTTTGTGTCCTCTCAAAATTCTTTGTTGAAGCCTAATCCCCCACACGATGGTATTTGTAGGCAAGGCCTTTGGAAGTCACCTAGGGCATGAGAGTGGAATCCTTCCTGAATAGGATTTTTGCCCTTATAAAAGAGATTCCCCAGAGAGATGCCTTGTTCCTTCTGCCATGTGAGAACACAGTGAGAAGACTACCATGTATGAGCCACAGAGCAGGCTCTCATCAGACATTGAATCTGTTGGTATCTAGAGCCTGACTTCATGTTTGCTATTTAAGCCATCCCGTCTACAGCATTTTGCTATAGCAGCTTGAACAGACTAGAACACCATCCGGAGCATGCTAATAGAGCTGTCATCATAGTATATGCTAATTAATCTTGTGTCTTTCTTTTCTATTCCCAGCACCTAACACCAAAAGTAAGGGTGAGGTAAGGCATCACTAGATAATACTTATTATTATTGCTTGAGAGCATATATAGTCTTCTAGGCACTTCTTCGTAAGTCATCTCATGGGAACCTCACAACAACTGGCCAAGGTGGTATTAGAAGTGTTGATGTTAGTATTGGAGGAGGTAAGTATCATCTGAGGTCCTTGTAACTCTGTCCTTCAGAGGTTAGGTTTGCCCAGATGGCCTTGAAGCATTGGCCAAGCTTCCCAACCCTGTTTTCAGCTGGGCCACACTGTTTCTATCCCCTGGCCCTGTCCTCTGCATGTCTTCCAGTGCTCCAACCCAATGCACCCTTGGGTCCCCCTCCAGCTATGCAGAGCAGCAGTGGGCACAGAGATGATGCTTCCCAGCTGGTGAATAGCCCGCATTCTCTCTGGGCTTGTGAATGCAGCATGGCCGAAGTACTGACGAGGCCTCAGCTTCAAGTTAGAACCCAGAACGATCCTGCCAGTCTGTTATGCAGCCCCAACTGTATTCTCTGGCATGACCTTTAATTTTTGGCTATCCTCTGCCCCTGCTCCTCACATGCCTCATGCAGTACCTTCAGCCCAGGATGCTCTTTCCCTCCTCCTATAAAGTTCTGCTACACAGACCCAGCTGTATTCCCTGGCACTGGGGTCACCGGGAAAGGGTGTGGACCTGAGGCACACAGAATGTCAAAGCCAAAGGAAACTTGGAGATCACATTGCTCAACCCTCCTCTAGACAGCCAAGAAAATGAAGACCCAGACTGGGGAGGGACTTGTCAGAAACACAGAGTGACATGGTGGCAAAATGATGGCTGGCTCTTGAGTCCTTTCCGATGACTCTGATCCAAACAAGAGAAAGGCAATTCAATGAGTTTATTTTAAAAGGAAGTCACAAAGGCCAAGTTAATTTGCAAGGCATTTTTAAGTACACATCATACAAGACATGTTATAAAGAAAACAAAGAAAAAAGTGTTCACGAGAAGCATTCAAATTTAGTCACTATAGAGGTCAGGCCATATTATAACCTACCTCCTCCCATGACCTCTTCTCTGAATAAAGTAAGCAGGTGAGTCTAAACCTAATTTACGATTTCTACATTGTGTTAGCAGAATGTGTTAAAATGGAAATACCACAGATTGATACTTTCTTTCATCCTCAGATAACATTATTCACAGTTATGCTAGTTATGGGTGCTTAGTCAGATATTGTTGGTCTCCATCCCTGACTCCAGGCACATAACAAATTGTACTTCCTTGTCACTTGTGTTTAGGTAGAGTCATATGACAAATTCTGGTCCATCAACTGAGAGTAGAAGTTGAGTTTCAGAGTGGCTAATTTTATGTATCAGCTTGACTAGGCCATGGGACCAGAAATGGGGTCAAATGCCAGTTTAGATGTTGCTGTGAAGGTATTTTTTAGATGAGATTAATGTTTAAACATTTTAATAAAGCAGATTACTCTCCATAATGTGAGTGGGCCTCATTCAATCAATCAGAAGACTTCATAGAAAATGATCTCAGTCTTGAGTTGTGTCATCAATTCAAGATCTTGGACTTGCACCAGCTCCCACAATCATGTGAGCCAATTCCTTAAAGTAAATCTAGATAGATAGATAGATAGATAGATAGATAGATAGATAGATAGATAGATAGATAGATGGATGGATAGGGAGATCCATCTTATTGGTTCTGTTTCTCTGCAGAACCCTGACTAGACTACAAGTGTCATTAGTGTTCTAGAGCTTTTAATTGGCAGGATTCTCTTTCCCTTTGGCATAGCAATTGTCAACATTTAAGATGGTGCCTATTCTGCCATCCTGGGTTAATGAGTGACTATAATAAGCAGAGCCCCCTCTGTTGACCATTACAAACAGCAAGCATGAGTAAGAAACATACCTTGGTTGTTTTAAGACACTGAAATCTGAGAAATTGTGTGTTATATCAAGCATACTTTAACTTATACTGACTAGTTCATCTTGGCACTGTTCATTTTAGATTTGATATGGTAGGAGAAATCCAGAAAAGTAATGGAATCATAAAAGGATTTTGATTTGGCCTCTTACAGAGACTCCCAGACGCAGGACTCTTCCTCCAGCTACACAGTTTCCCCATTGTCTATCTTGGGATCCTGAGAGTCTTAACCCAGAATCCAACCACAGTTGTGTAGATGCATCAAAGGTACAATCTCACTCATGGAACTTCCCTAGTAAATGTTCAGAGTTCTGCTGAGGAATCTGACCTGGACTTCAAATGGGAAGCTCTCCAAAGTACAAAAGTTTCCACTACAACAACACAAATGTTAAACACTATTTAAAACAAAATTCTCAGTAAGAAAAATGAGATGATGAGCATTTTTAAGTCAAAAACTAAAGACCATTCCCTAGTTCTGGTGAAGTTTCCTGCCACAGTGGGAGAGTCAGCAGGACTAGAGAGAGTACTAGAAACACAGCTGGGTTTCCTTGGTCAAATGCAGATGGGTCAAATAGGGAGCCTTTGAGAAAATGCAATTCGAATGTGTTGCTGATTCTCCTGTTGATGAAATCCTTGATCCAAAGCCTACTGGGAACCTGTATCTTTATTCTCAAATGGATATAACCAGTCCCTTGACCTTAAATACATTGTAGAGACAAAGTCTGGGGTAGACTAAGTTGTAATGGGCTTAAACTATTGCAGGAAGAATTTATCTTAGATCAGTGGCTCTTACTGTTGGGGGTGGTTCCCCACCTCACCCCCAGGGACATTTGGCAATGTCTGGGGATGTTTGGGGTTGTCTCAGCTAGGAAATGTTATAGGCATCAGCTGGGTAAAGGTTAGGGATAATTACTAAGCCTCCTACAACTCATGGGACAGTCCTCAAATAATTAACTGGCCTAGTACCAAGGTGGAAAAACCCTGGCTGAGATGAAATCACTAGTTATGAGGGTATGAAGGTTTAGAACAAAGTGCAGGAAGAACATTTACAGAGGAATATGTTCCAGTGGAAAAAATATGCATTAATATAAATATTCATATACATATAGAAATAAACCAAAACTGACTGTACCACTGAAGCATTCTGGGGAGTAGCACGGTTCATATCAGCAGGGAAATAAATCTCATTGCTACTCTCTTCTCCCTGTAAGGGATGAAGCTAGCATGAGAATC